CGCCTTGTGTTTTGGCCACCACGCCGCATCTCCGCAGCCTCACCTTCTGCCGCCGAAGTCAGCGTCCGCGGTCTGCCCGTCCTCATCAGCCGTCGCCGAGGGCCGCCCACGCCGCAGCGTGACGTACTGCCGCCGCCCCTTGCCGGATGACGTCACATCGCCACTGTCGTCAGCTGGCGTTGTCTGCGGTTGCCTGAGGGGGGGGGGGGGGGGGGCGATCGGGTCAGGACGCTGTGGTTGTGATGGGTGGATGTGCTCTCTCATGGCATAGTTCGGTGCTGTCTCCGTTTCCAAGAAATGTTTGCCTAGTTTCCCACTCACCCACTTAATTTTTTCCTTGTCTCCCTATATTAAAGAAACGGTTCTTCCCGTTTTAATTTTTGAACTGGAGGAAGAGCGCTTCAGCTTATAAGGATACCCTACAAGATACCACCGTTTCCAACCCAGATCAAGAGAACAGCATCCAAGTTCAGCATTACAAGAGCCGTCCTCACTACAGCGTTGATAAGACAGTAGCATGAGCCTTATTCCTCGGAGAAAACCAGGAGAATTAGAGAGAGTAGAGGAGAGAACAATGACATAAGTGAATTCCTTTTGCTATTGTTTCGATATGTTGCAAAAATATCAACCCAACTACATCTTCATTCTCCTGGTTTTCTCCGAGGAATAACGCTATACTTCTGTCTCATTTATGTGAATAATGTTCCTCGCTAATGCACTGAACAACTCACTGCAGCGTTTATCCATCGCAGTGCACAACCAGCGCAGAAGCACGATGCTACCAAATATATGTATAGCCGTGGAGAGGACTGCACTGGGGACTATCGGCTGATCTATTCGAGATCCGTATCAGCTGATACACATTGTTAGCGCGGACTTGAAGTGAACGAGTGCCTTCACAAGCATGCCACATGTGAATAGGATTAAACTGCCTGTCAAGTGATGGCTTGTCCGGACGAGATGATGTGTGTGCATTCGGTCCATCAGAGTTCGACATTCAGCCAGATCTTATCAGTCAATGCTGACGTTGAAAATTAGATGCAGAAATTCGTTGAGCTCGTCAGCTTCAGTCGACGTATTCAGCCTTGTGGCTTTAAGTCACAATGTCCGCAGACATGCAGCTCAAAAAGATGTGGAATCTCGCGAGATACTGCTTGTGACAGACTCGGTATTTTCTTTTTCACGGCGTGCGCCACACGAACCCTAAAAACACCAGCACAACGACCAAAGTTTGCTGTAAAGGCCCCACGGCGAAGCCACAAGCCTAACGCTGTACGCGATACAACCATCAACATCCTAGCACTCAGCGCCTGACCGCGCTGCCCCACAGAAGCCAACCCACCTGTTCCGCTGGATGCTGCTGTACTGGGGCCGACGGCGGGTGTTGCTGACGGCCTCTGACCCAGTGCCCTCGGGTCCGTCTTGCGTGACCTCTGGCCGCGGGCGGCGCGACAGGGACAGTCGGGGGCGGCTGTTCTCAGGCTCAGCCTCCGCCTCGTCTGCGGACGACGGTCCGGGCGTTGTCCCATCGGTGGGCTGCTCGCGAGCGATCGCAGAGTAGCTGAAAACGGAGCGTCTCGGCGTCAGTACCACCCGGGAAATGAGTTATATACCAGGCAATCTGCAACCAACAAGTAACACAAGAATCCAGGTGTGACAGTTCACCAGCGCTGCTTCCTGCAATGCAAAACATGCACGATCGCAGTCCATATCAACTCACCCGGTGATCATTAAACGATGGCCCTTCCTCCTGCCCAGAAAACTAGCGCTTGTGACGTCAGTACTCACCGTGGCCGGGCGGTGGTGGTGGTCTGACCACCGATAACCTTAACCAGCGTCTGGCGGTCCTTCGCCGACAGCAGCCCTGGGCCCACCGCGTCAGCCCCGCCCCCGTCTAGCAGCTTCTGCACGGCGTCCAGGCCGCCTGCCGACAATGAGTGATGATGTCAGCAAAGGACGCAGGGAACATGCACGTCCAGGGGTGTGTCGTCACCCAAAGGGACATTTATAGCGTTGGCGGCGAAAATGTTGAATGTGAGCTCAGCAATCACATCTGATATCCGCAGAGTTCGCGGTTTGTCCGCACAGCGAAGCGTCGCAGCACAGCGTGTCTGCGCTACGGCGGTCAATAGGCTGGAGTTTATATGCAGGGTAGCACAAGACATTCCATATCGCAAATTCCCCTGGATGGTGGATTTGGACTAAACCATACTAAACAGGTGCCATTCTTCACCGATAGATAAGCCATGGATTTCGTCGGATTTCGGGACTGAACTATGTCCATAACTTATATTTGTGGCCCTTGTGCTCAATGTGCGAAATCTGATAAGCCAACCGCAAATGACATTCCAACATACCGCTTTTCAAGACGCTTAGAACTTCACTGACTGGCATCGTTTGTCATGCATCTAATTAAATTTCCCGAAGGAGTGTTTTTGGAATTGTCGTACTAAATAACAAATCATGCGCAGGGAAAATTCCCCACCATCCCGAAAAGTAATTACAGTAAGCGCACAGTTTCTCTTTTGATCTTTCCTCCAAGTGATAACGAACGATCTCACACTCGCCCTGATACGGGAGCATACTTCACCTGCCCCCCCCCCCGTCCCTAAGGTAGTTTGTGGAGACCTTACCGTCTGAAAAGGTGTAATTTTCTGGAAGATTTGAACTTTGACATGACATATTGGGATAATTGTTAACCCAGCAATATAAAAACTAGAACCAATCGCTAGAGCTCATTGAAAACAATCTACTGGGTTTTACACTAATCTTATCTTCACTAGTGCGGAAACGCCAGGGGCCAGGGCCGCATCGCCCCTACTCCCTTTTATCAGTCCGCGCTAAGGAAACTCCGCATCAGGGCGAGGGTTAACGTAGCATGCATCGCCGCGACCTTGCCGCGCTTCCTAGCCTGACCAATGTTTTGCCGATCAGCATTCGACCGCGATTACACGTCAGACAAGCGCTACTTGTGAGACAAGACATCGCACGTTTGCGATAAATCGTGGTCACACTTCGAACCGGGCGTCTACAAAAATCGCAGTGAGAAATGACTCCAAGCGACGCATTCCCATGTCTCGCGCCCGTGGCACAGGCTTAACTCAGCGAGGCCGTCGCCCGCTGCTGGACTGACCGAGCTGTTGAATGAGCGCCAGCAGCTGCTTAAGCTCCTCTGGGTCCGACTCGTCCGCTTCGGCAGGCGGCGACGGCTTCGGTCTGCTGGCCGCGCCTGCGCTCGGGAGCCGCCGAGAACCTGCACGAGAGGGGGGGTCAGCGTGTGCAGAGGCGTCCGGCTCTGTCAGCGTCTCACGCGGCGGCGTCACTCGTCCGTCACGGCGGCGTCACTGACACGGCGCGCGTCACTGTCCAACACGGCGGCGTCACTTGTCCAACACGGCGCGTCACTCGTCCGTCACGGCGGCGTCGCTCGCCCAGTACGGCGACGTCACTGTCCGTCACGGCGGCGTACTCGCCCAGTGACGGCGTCGCTGGCCAACGGCGGCGTCACTTGTCCAACACGGCGGTGTTACTCGCCCAGTATGACGGCGTCACTGGAAAACGGCGGCGTGCGTCACTTGTCCAACACGGCGGTGTTCACTGCCCAGTATGAGCGTCACTGGACCAACACGGCGACGTCACTTGTCCAACACGGCGGCGTCACTTGTCCAACACGGCGGCGTCACTGTCCAACACGGCGGCGTCACTCGTCCGTCGGCGGCGTCGCTCGCCCAGTACGGCGGCGTCACTTATCCAACACGGCGACCGTCACTTGTCCAACACGGCGGCGTCACTTGTCCAACACGGCGGTGCTACTCGCCCAGTATGACGGCGTCGCTTGACCAACACGGCGGCGTCACTTGTCCAACACGCGGTGTTACTCGCCCAGTACGGCGGCGTTACTTGTCCGTCTGCGCCACTCGTCTGTCCGCTCGGAAGTTGAGCGTCATTTGGCATTGTCCTGGCACCAAGCATGACGCCGGCAAGTGCTACCACTACGGGCGTTTTGTGAGGTGAAGTTGAGATCATATCGCTTGCGAGCTGGAGATGAATACTTATAACTCAAGGCGATAACCGGTCGGGCATTGTGCATGCTAATGTATTACCATGTTTTATTTATGGTGGCATTCTTAGGCCATGACTACTCAGACATAGTTCTCAGAATGTGAGGGCATATTTGCATTCATTATGCTTCTAAACACTCTATCTCCTTCGGTATGTCATGTTGAAGGCCTATCAGTGCATCAATCTTGGGTATCGAGAAGGATGATTCTCCTTAAGGCATAAAAAGCACTATTACACCCGCAGGCATGTACGTGATAACACTGGCAATAGGACAAATCGCAATCTGACGGATACGCTGGGAACGCGAATGCATGCCTGATGACTTGTGCCGAGAACGTGGAGGCCGAAGTGTGTCTGTCCTGCGTTCTGACCTGGATGAGAGCTTATCCCTACTTCAGAGCTCACGGGTCGCTTATCGCCACAAACAGCATATGGTATGCTGTTCAACACAGCCACATATACCGCCGACAGCACTTCCGTGTATTTCAACCAATCACTGGCATTGAGTGAAACGTTAAGTTTTTGTGAAAGCTTGAGTGTGCGGCTGCGTCGTACACGTATGAAACGCACAGAATGCGAATTGAAGCATTCGTGAAATACGTTAGCGGCATTAATGACGCGAAAGTGGTATGTCAATTACACAAACAACATTAAGAGTTGCATGTGAGTAGGAAGACACACGGTAAGAACTGCTGTCAATATGCAGTGCTCGGTGGAAAAGCGTTGGAAAATAACCCACGAGCCACGCCATCGATATCCTGCCGCTATACCAAATCGTTATTCTTTCATCCAGCGAGTGCTTTACGGCATACGTATCTCAAACGGCGCCTAGTCTCAAGGTGATCGCTTTAAAACGGCTGTTGCAAGTTGCCTACATCTTATCGTCTACAATAAACAACAGACTGGAGAATGTAATAGTGTCAAAACACGCTTTTAACTATCTGCTTATGGTTTCCTCCAATGACCTCGAAAACAAGCGCGTACCACATCATTTTCTACCATATTCCGCTGACGTCAGGAACTGGCTTTGCATCACTAGGCACCTTCCCGTAACCACTAATTTCTGTCTAACGAGCCGGTTCCCTTTGATATGCATCCTGCTTCTTTCTCCACCAGCACCAGTTTGTGCTAAAGTTGCCGAAGTTTACTGATCTGTTGTATAATAGATGGGGGCTTGCAAACCGGGAGCCACATGAGTTCAAATTGTTGTTGATCAGCTGGAGGACCAACAATGATGCAATCACGTACTAAAGTGAGCCCACGGTGCTTATCGCAAGGGCCATCTGTAGCTTTCAGAAGGTGATCCACCGCTCAGATGTGCGGGTGATGTGTGCTCCGCCAATGCCCCCATCAACACAACTACTGATGTGTAGCGATCCGGGCAGCACGTCCTCCTAAAACTGATCGTGAGTTTCAGTCCAAAGTAAATGATCTTTCTATATCGGTCACGTGACCTTCAAAGCCGGCCACTTCCATCCTCTGAAGCGCACAAGGTGCCTGTGCCGTCCGAACCAATGCCACAATCTGCATAGTCTGTACATAATGTTCGTTAGCCATTGGCGATTGCTTCTTAATCTTGTTGTCATTCAGTGATTTCTGTTACACAGCACGACGTTGACCAGCCCGGGGTCACTACCGACTTAACATGCCAGCTCTGTGACATCTGGTGATTTTTTAAGTGACGTAAAATAACCCTCAGCGGTCTATGGTCGTGCTCAGTGTTCCCCCTATCACAGGCATGTGCGGTCTGACCACCTTCGTTCGACCTGCATTTTCGCCGAGCTCGACGAGTTACCTTTAATGCCCCCCCAAGACCTTCAAGAGACAACCCCATGTGACCTTCAGCGACCCTCCATACCTCCCAGCGGACCACCGTGAACTTCCTTCAGAATGCACCTTTCCCGGTTGAGCCCATTCCGTCACGTAACATTAACCCTTAATGACCTACAATAACCTTCATTGATAACCTAATGTCGGTTGGCAGCAGCAGCGGCCAAATCGGTCTTCACACGTAGTAATCACTGACCTTTAGTGATCGTCAGCGACCAGCAGTGACGCGCAGTAAGCTCTCAAGACCCACCTCCGGTTCGGGCCCTCTTCTCGGCGGCGCTTATGCTCGTGTCCGGCCTCTTCGGCCGAGCCGGCAGGTCAAGGTCGAGCGGGTGGCAGGTCAGCCGTGTCGTAGTCCTCGTAGAACTGCTCGAACGGATCGGGCGTGACCTCGCCGATGTTGCCCTCCGGCTCCGCCGGCAGTACGGTCGGCTCCTTGGTCGGCGGGAACGTGATCGACTGGACCTCTTTAGCCACGATCTGTGGACAGGGGTGGGAATGCCACGGCTGCGGGACACTGACTGCGGTGTAGGTTTGTGCTGTGGAACTTCTGACGTATCTTAAACGTCTAGCTCGAAATCCAGCTCCAGCGGGTACGAACTAGGCTTGTGGATGTGCTTACGACCTGCTGTTACCAACATCACCCTCGGACGACTAGCCAGGCCTAAAAGGTCGAGCGTTGTCCATAATTGAAGTTAACGAATTAATTGAACACCACAATGGCGATCGGCCAGCAACGAGCTCTTTTGAGAAATTAACGCACAGCTAAATGCGGAAGAACAACATATAACATAACCAATGTCTTCATCGTTGGCTGACCTTCTTCCATTACACCCATAGACGCTACTCCTTTGCAAAACCCACCCCATAATGACACCCCTCTCGCCCACCCCTGCGATGACGCCCCTCCCAACCGTCCCCGTGATGACGCCCTCCCACCAGCCCCCTTGGTGACGCCCTTGTCACCGGTGCCTGCAACCCAACTGCGGCACGGACCTTGCACTTGACGTTCCTGGGGAAGTCACAGGAGTCGGTCTGCCTGTTGAAGAGCAGGCCGGACGGGCAGGTGAAGCTGTGCGGCACGATGCCAAGGGGGCCGCCGGCCAGACACCAGAAGTACTTGTTACACTCCTCCGGGTGGGCGAAGAAGCCCTCCCGCTTGCAGTTGAAGCCTGCCGGGGCGTAAGGCACGGCTCGGTCAAATCAAGACCGAGAAATGCTGTGGGTGGCGTCCGACGAGATTATTCTGACCCAGCGGCGGCATATCTGACGTGGGGTGTGTTTAATATTATTCCTATCATGCAGCAATAATTGAGACGATTTTAGGACGAAAGTGACTTTCACGGTTGCTGGTTTTCGTGGGTATGCCCGTCGTTAAGAGCAAGGAAACACAAACCATCTGCCGGGCGTCTTGCCCGGCTAATGTATTGACGCCATGGCCACGACTGTTTTGCGTCATGACGTCACAAGCTACCGTTCGGCGAGCCAATGGCAGCGCTAGAAACGCAGTGCGTTCGTCACCTGCTCCGGGGTCCGGCGTCGCCGGCGGGGGAGGCGTCGGTCCCCTTCGCTTGCTTCGGCAGGTCCCTACAACAGCAGGGTACTCAGGTCAGTCTACGGACACTTCAGCAGGTCACTGTGCACCTCACGCGAAGAAGAAAAAAACTCGCGGCTGACTTCACCAAAATGCTATCGTTCATGCCGTGCGTCAGGTTTGGCTGCATGTCTGTCGTGCGTGACAAGTATCATGTTTGGCATCATGAGTGACAAATGTTCGTGACCCTGGAACAACCACTAAGCACAAAAACATACATCGGCATGCAAAGATTTGACCAATGCCACACACGGACACTGGTACTAAAATCGCAAACGGAGACCCAATAGGAACTTGCTGGTGGCTTGAGTTAAAACAGCACGTGTTGGACTGTAAAAAAAGATAGCATTGCAATTGCCCCACCATCAGGAGCGTCCTACACGCGTTGTGTCTTCTGTGTTCAATGCTCAAACTTCTGAACAAGGCAACCGTGACATTTAATATGTGTGGTCGGACTGTGAGCTTCCTCCAAAACCATGCGATGCTTTTGGATGAGAATGCTTTGAATCTTCATTTGTGACTTAAGGGGTTTCATTCCTAAGCGCCATGCCTAAGAAGTCAGGTGATTCCCTGCAGCCAGATGACTGTGTCAGAAGAATTCAGATGCCCCGGTGCCACTGCGTCCGTATGGAAGTCAGATGCCCCGGTCCCACTGCGTCCGTACGGAAGTCAGATTGCCCGGGCCCACTGCGTCCGTATGGAAGCCACGTGCCCCGGTCCCACTGCGTCCCTA